GTTAAGCGCCTTTGCCCCCTCTTGTCCTCGTCATCATCTTTGACAGGAGAGAGCCTGGGGTCTGTAAACTCCTGCTTCATGCCAAGGATCCAAGGAGAACCCCCTGTGTTTAGCACTTTCCACTTTCAGATTTGGAACCTTGGACATTCGTAAAGGGACAGAACTCCCAAGCACAGAAGTGCCAATCCTTGAAGGACTGAGCACTGAACATAAATCATAATGACGAGAGGCAGGTAAAACTGACTGCAGAAGTTATCTGATGTTCTGCTGTGGTGGAGAGAGGTTTTGATAAAATTCTGTGAGACTGTGGGTATCTGTTCCCTCGCCAGGGCACTGCTGACAGCAGGGGCTTCTGATCTATCATCTGTTGGCCAACTGACAGCTCTAGGACCATGTGACCCTCAGTCCTGGGCATCCTAGGCTGGGAGAAGTGGACAGTTTTGCAAAACAGCAAGCTAGAAGAACCAAGCATGGAGGAAACAGAGAAAGAACAGGGAGCCATTGAGCCAGAAAGCAAGAGAGAGGGGCCAGGCACGGTGGCTCATGTCTGTAATCCCAGCACTTTGGGAGGCCAACGTAGGCAGATCACAAGGTCGGAAGTTTGAGACCAGCCTGGCCAACATGGTGAAACCCCAACTCTGCTAAAAATCAAAAATCAGCTGGGTGTGGTAGCACACACCTGTAGTCCTAGCTACTTGGGAAGCGGAGGCAGGAGAATCGCTTGAACCTGGGAGGTGAAAGTTGCAGTGAACCAAGATGGTACCACTACATTCCAGCCTGAGTGACAGAGTGAGACTTCATCTCAAAAAAAAAAAAAAAAAAAAAAAAGCAAGAGAAGTTATGGGGTCTCTTGAGGCCCACTTTCCTATAGGTCCTTTGCTCTGAACCAAAAGAATGGTCTTGAGGAGAAGCTGGTAATTGAAATACTAGATGAAAAACAGTGCACTGCATGGTCAGTGTGTTTATCAGAGCTGTGAAGACACGTCTGAGCCACCTCAGAACCCTGGTGTTATCTGAGGTTTGAATGTGTTTTTTGTAGGTGGTGAAGAGGTCCCAAGCCTCGGCTAGCAGATCTTGTATAAAGAGTTCCCACCGCGATCACGTCTGTTCCGCAAAATCATCTTTTGACGCTGCTAATGTATTTTAGGTTGTAAAATTTGCCAGTTTCTCTTGGGATTTCACATGAAAGGAGTTAATTCCCATCAAATGATGGTATTAGGGGATGACTAGAGTCAAGACATGAAGTCTGGCTCTTTCATTCAAGTCTCTGAATTATGTTATTCTTCTCTTTCCATCTGGCAAAATACAGGTGATTTCCTTTCTCTTGCTTCAGGAAACGTATAAACAGAAACGCCTCTTTGGATGAGTGAACATTCTGTCCTGTCTGGGGAAGCGCCCAGTGGAAGTCCAAGGGCGAGTGTATGCCCAGGGCAGGGCAGCCAAACTCTGGGCTGATTCCTGGGATGCGTGATTTCATCAGCCTGCGCTCAGCTTCTCCATCAATAAAAAGGGCCAGTGATCTCTGCCCACCCTTATCTCAGAGCTCTCCTGCCAGTACCTGGGGATTCCAAATCATGTATTAGACCCAAACTGTCCTGTACTATGCCCTTTAATTTGGCTTAAGAACTTTCTGATTTCACTCTAAATGCTGACCATATAGTCTTTTGTTTCAAAATCTCCCAAAGATAGAATAGAGCTACTTCAAGATCTGAGCAAACTTTTTAATAATAATTGCAAAGCCCTAGAGTGTCTATAACTAGCATATCTGACTGAGAATCCTCTCGGAATGGAATGACAAACTCTGTGACCCCAGCAGGGAGGCACGCTTGCTCACCCAGTCCTGGAGGAAGGCAGGAGCAGGAAGAAGGGAACATTTCACACATACAGCCGACTATCCCTGTACTTCTTCCTCTTTCCTCTAATGCCCACTTCCCTGTTTCCTCCATAGTCCGTGTTCCCGGGTGGCTCCTTTCTATTTCCTTCAGAGCAAGGGTATTACTTTTAGCAGAAAAACATGCATTTTTTTCCACTCTAAGAGATGCCAAAAGTGAGACCTCTAATGTGGAAGCTAGACAGGGTGAGAAAAGAACTTAGGATCTGTCCTGCACAGTATGTCACCTACTCAAAAGTCCAGCCCTGGAAGGCTGTCCTTCCACCTCAGGAGGAAATATGGCCGCTTGCTGGTCTTTTCACTTCAGCTTCTTCAATAAGATGAGCTGTGTATCAAAGAATCCTGAAGAGTTTGAAGAGAGAGGAGAGTATATAGCATAGCAGGAGTGAGCACAGACATGTGAGCAATGACTAGACATGACTAGAGATTCTGTGAAGTTCAGCCCAAGGAGAGATCAGCCTTTTGCTTTGCAATTTTCCCCTGAACACTAGTAAAGGTAAAAGGCCTACCTGTCGCAATGAGTAAAAGGCCAAATTAGAGCTAGCTTTTTGGCTTATGACTTAATTATTGTTGCTTTTAGCTGTAGTTTACAAAGAATTTTTCGTGGACCTTCTTTTCTCTTAATGCCACCAGTAGGCCTTATCAGTCATTTACTGTTGCCAACTTTTTGGCACCAGGGATTGGTTTCATGTAAGATAGTTTTCCCCAGACAGGGATGGGGTAATTTCAGGATGAAACGCTTCTGCCTCAGATCGTCAGGCCTGAGACTCTCATAAGGAGTGTGCAGCCTGGATCCCTTGCCTGCACAGTCCACAACAGGGGTCTCACCCCTCTGAGAATCTTATGCTGCCACTTATCTGACAGGAGGCGGAGCTCAGGGGGTCATGCTTGACCACCAGCTGTGCACCACCTACTGTGCAGCCGGGTTCCTAACAGGCTACAGACCTGTACCAGTTCATGGCCTGTGGGCTGGGGACCCCTAATTTATATCATGGTGTGGATTCCTTTGCGATGATTCCCATAGGAGCAGTTTTTCAAAGGAGGGGAAAACGATAGCACCAGATTCCCAAGGTCGGAGGAAAAACCAGTCTCACATATTTGAAGGACTAAGTCCTTCTTATCCTCTGCCATCTTTTTCAGGTTCCCCGGCCCTTTGCCTTGTCACTATACAAAGCTTTTTACTAGGAAGTACAAGGCAAAATGCACATTTTCTAGTAACGCAGAAACAATTACTTTAGATAAACTTGGAGCAAAAGCACGTCGATTTCTTGCTTTAAAAAAATTGTGTTTGCGCGAGAGCTTTTGGGTTATACATCGCCGCAAGCAGCAGCAAAGCTGAAGATGATAATCGAGGTTGCAGATTTGATCAGGGTTCACTTTAGAAAATAAACGGGTGGTATAAATGGAAATCAAATAATTCAGGAAATGTTTGGCTTTATCCAGAAGAAACGAGGCTTCATTTTTCAACAGACAATATCAAGGTGTTATTGATTCAGCCCCACCTTGCAGAGTGGGGAGACACCAGGCCAGCCGCGTGAGGTGAGCGGTGAACCGGTGAAAGCAAGTTTCACTTTCAACTCAGAAAGCGTGGGATGATGAAACAGGTTCTTGTTAAGAAATAAAGAGGGTTTTTAATTTTTCGGTTGCAAAAAAGGGATGTGTAGTTCACTTCCCCCTCTGTTTTCTGCAGGTCACTGAGAACCGTGACTGAATTGCTTCACTCTTCTGTCCCACTGGTCACTGTGGGGTTGGAATCAGTCTGTATTGACAACTGCTCTCCTCTTTGGGGCCAGATTGTCAAGTCGCACGACACAGGAATCTCAGTCTCACTGAGAAAGATTTTCCAGTACGCAGCGACTGGGAATCTTCAGAATCACTGGGTTTCATCTCTCTTTTCCTTCTACCTCCCTTACTACATCATGAGAGTGAGTGTGGACAGAGCAGCTAGTAATGGATGCCAAGGGGAAGATGAGGAGAGCAAGAAATTGTCCATAACTCCCTGAAAATACTTAACTAACCTGGTCTAATGCATTTCTCAGAGACCAGAAAACATGACTCTCTCTTCACATTACAGTAGTTCAGTGTTTCTCAACCTTGGCTTAGCTGATGTATTCCAAGCCTATTCTTCTAAATTATTATGTATTTGCCCAAAGCAAAGAATTTTAACGCATAGAGTTTAGGAGCTGTTCTCTATAACTTTAAGAAAAATGAAATTATTTATACCTGGAATAGGAAATCCCTAAGCAGGATTAAAAGAACCAGTTGAAATCAATAGTTGCCACATGATAATATATTTCTATTCACGAACGGCCTGGCTCTAGCTAAAATTTCAGGATTTAGAGAATGCTAGAATGTGCAGCAAAATGAAAGCCCAGACCACATAAGTAAACTTTCCAGTTTCTTTTTATAGCTGAGTAAATCTCTGGACAAATCCTCAAGAGGTTCTTAGAAGTATTCCCTCCTTTGTATCTAGAAGGTCCTTGTAATTGTCTTATAAATCTCCAAAGGTCTTTAGAGATTACTTTGCTTTAAATAGAGGGAAAAATGATACAAAACTAAAGCTGGACTATTGCCTGGTGTACTATTTCTACCTAGAGCAGTCTTTAATTTCTTAAAAATCAAGTGATCTGACAGGACACTTGTCAAGCACTTGCCATACTGAGCCGCTTCTTGCCATCCATATATATATATATATTTTTGCCAACCATACTTATTAACTACAGATGCTCATTCCAGGTGACAGAGTCACCCCAATGCTTAGGGGAAGCAAGCAGGGTTCAAATCAATTAATCAATGAAAAAAATGTCTAACGATGGACTTTTAAATCACAAATCACACTTATATTTTAGAGTGTAAGTAATACTGAAATAAAGAAGGCACTTCCCTCACTCCCCGGTTTCTATTCCCATCAACTTTTGTGGATAAATGCAATGAGTAATGAAAAACTTAGTATCGTGGACACTAAATAGTCAAACAGCCTCTTGTAACTTGTTATTTCCTAGAAAAAATTAATTTGATAGCTAACTTAAAGAAAAGCCAAACAAAACTCTCCGCTGCCAGCCTGGCAGCTGTTATTGGGTCCGAATTTAGGAAATCGGGACATACTTACAATCATGATGAACGTGCCCAGGAACTCAGAGAGGGTTTCTTTCGCTAAGCTGCTCTTCAAGACCAGTCTCTGCTTGAAGCTTTTCCCCTTTTCTGACTTCTCCGGCTGCATTTTGGGGCTTCTCTGAGGACTCCCGTTTCCACAGATGCCTACCTGTTGTGGCCCTCACTTACGCAGCCACATGAAAACGGACGTTTTGACAGTGGCTCACAGATTGCTGGAGATGTCTGGTCAGAGTCTCTGGCTGTACCAATGCCGTTTGGCTTAATCGTCTGCGGCTGGAACTGTCATTCCCTGCTCGCTGCTGTTTGTCTGAATCGGGGACTTACACCCCGAAATCCCGAAAATGATCCTTTTGGTGTCCGATAGATTAATCATTACCTTTATTTTCAAGGTACCTTTTTCTCTGTTGGTTTTTTTTTTTCAAGAGACGAGAAAAGAGATGTGCTGCTGGTGTTGCCAAACCACAGTGATGGGCCCTGGTCCAGAAGAGATTTACATGTTACACAATTGCAGGCTTCTGATTTTTTTTTTTCCTCCTCATTCAGAACTGGGTGGTTGGGGCGTACTTTGGAATTACCAAATCAGGTGTGGATATATCCAGTGTAAACATTCTCTTCCGAAAAAGGTTTTTAGGCAAAATGAAGAATTTGAAGAAAATCTAGATTTCTCATCCTGTAAGATGAACCACTCTGTTGTCTTCCAGTATCATTTCAGTGACCTCAGGACATGGCTCTGAGGTTAGTAAGAGCCACAGAGTGGCTCCTAGAGATGAATACATCACACACAGAGAGACCACTGCAAGCTTCACACTGCAAGTCTATGGGGCAGGATGGAGTCGCCTCTTCGGTTAGGAAACTGGCTTTCATTTACTGAGGATACTTTAGGATCCATGATTCAGAAAGACAGAGGAGTCACCTTTCTGGGTTTCTTCTGAAGAAGCATTCCAGTCTGAAAACAGTCACTCTTCTTAATTTACCATGAAATGTTTAGACATAATACATAGGAAATAAACAGTAGCAGCTTGAAATTCTTTCCTGTATGGAGATGACTGAGCTGGAAAGAGATCAATCTGAGTGTATATCATCCTAATCAAACAGGAAAGGGAGCCAGTATACACACCCAACCAGGGCTCCTAGGTTAGACCCTTTAAACTGGATGAATTCACATCCTTGCCAGCAACAAACTGTGTTCAGAACCAGCTCCCTGTCCTGCCAAATAGTCAAGCTTTGTTTTTCAAAACTGGTTTGTCTGCACAAAGAGAATACAGCGTTAGTTTCTGAATACCAAGGTGGGCCTAGTTTCTGGTTACCGAGGTGGGCCTGGTTTCTGGTCACCGAGGTGGGCCTGGTTTCTGGTCACCGAGGTGGGCCTGGTTTCTGGTCACCGAGGTGGGCCTGGTTTCTGGTCACCGAGGTGGGCCTAGTTTCTAGTCACCGAGGTGGGCCTGGTTTCTGGTCACCGAGGTCGGCCTGGTTTCTGGTCACCGAGGTGGGCCTGGTTTCTGGTCACCGAGGTCGGCCTGGTTTCTGGTTACCGAGGTGGGCCTGTGGAATTAGTGCCCACGCTCTGTGCTTCCTTGCAGTCCTCCCGCAGGGAGGCCAGCTCTCCATCAGGCCCTCCCCTGGCTTTGCAGGAGGATGGGAGGAGAGGATATGGAGAAAACAGCCAGTAAAAGGCCAGAGGCTGAGGGAGACTACTGATTGTAGCTGACATTTAGCATTCAGACCTAAAAAAGTTATAACTTGCCTGAGGCCACACTACTGCAGAACGAGGACAAAACCTCAGCATTTCGGCTTTAATTCCTGGTGAGGTTTTTATGAATACCATTGTCTAGAAGAACCACCTATGACCTAACCATTACCACGTCCCAGTGGACGGACCAGAGAAACAGGACTTTCTTACTGTGACTACAGCTAATAATGTGCAAGACTGTTTTCTGGTCTCCTCATTCACTCATCTAACAACTATTTATTGCACACTCAGTATGTGCCAAGCACGGCACTCAGCAAAGGCACATAGTGTTCTCGCCCTTCACAGAGCTTAGAGTCTAGGGAAGCAGACAGATCTAACTGAAATGATCCCACACACATAAATCTAAAATCACAACTGAGACGTATGCTACAAAGATTGGGGCCATATTTCTATAAACAAATACAACAAAAGGATTTGCCTTTGTTGGAGAGCTCTCTTATGGCTTCTCCAAAGAAATCATGTGTGGACTGAGATCAGAAGGAAGCACGGGGCTAACCAGATGAAGCGGGGAAGAAAGTGCATGTACAAAGGCCTTAGTGGGTTTGGGGGTAGGGGGTGTGGGGAGCAGCATGATGCCTAGCAGAGAAGGAGGGAAATGGGCTGTGGTTGGTCCCCAAGAGAGTGAAAGAGTACAGCATGCAAAGTGAGCCCCAAGGTGTGGGCAAGGGTCAGACCGTACTGACCCTTGCAACTGGTAGTTAGGGCGAAAGCTTAAGTCACTGAGGTGGTTTAAGAAGAAATATGACACGATCAGATTAGAGTTTTGAGAAGATCTTCCCGGCTGTGAGGTGCGGAGGGGACTTGAAGGAGCTTGGAATGGTCGTAGGTAGATATATTTGGGGGTATTGCAGAATTCCAGAACTGGGTGGTAGCTTTGACAGTGGAGAAATGGAAGGAACCAAGAGTTCTTTATATCTTAAAATTGGAAGAATTTGGTGGATTAGATGTGGGAGATGAGGAAAAGAGACTGAGGAAGGTTGGTTGTTGTGTTCCTAACTTGCTGGGGAAGGTGCTGCTAAGCCCTGGAAGAGGACCCGAAGGGCAGTGGAAGATCATTAATTCTGCTTGTGCAGAGTTGAGCCTCTGGGGCTTCTGAGCGATGTGAAGTAGGAAGTGGTGCAGGTGCAGATGAAGAAGGAGTGTCTGTGTGCTCATAGTGGTGATAACTGGAGCCTGGCGTAAAGAGGCTCCTTACGGAGAGTTTGAAGAAAGCTGAGAGTTTGATGTGGAACATTTCATGGCTAGGTAGAGGAGGATGGGACCTTTTTCTTTTTCTTTTCTACTTTCAGGTGACGGTCACATTTCTCACCTCCGTCACCACAAACGTAGCTAACCCATACAAAATGTTCACTGAATAAAATGTTCTAATCACCTAACGTGTTCAAAAGAGGCCTAAGAAGGTAAGCACTGAATAGCGTTCCTTCCTTCTTCCACCTGGGAGGGGCCTTGGTCAAAATACCCTGACTGCAAAGTTCTAGCTGGAAACATGATGGAGCTTTTAAATTTCATTCATTCAGAAAAAGTTTTCATTGAATATTTATCATGTGTCAGGCACAGCATTAAGCAATGGGGATTTTAAAATGAGAAAAACAGATCTCTGCTATTAAGGAATTGATGATCTAAGCAACAAAGACCGCCAAATGAATACACCATAGAGTAGAACAGAGTTGTAAGCACGATACGGAACCAAAATTTCGGCTGACACCATAGGGACATCTGAGAGCGAACTCTGCATCTGCCAACACGCAGAGGAAAGACGGTTCTAAAGCTGCTGAGCTTTCCTGGGTGTACCTCCATACCAATTCTCCAGGGCTGGCGTATGCTGTTCTTTTATTAAGAGTTCCCTTGGCTCTGCCCCTTCCTACGTTCTCTTCTCCCCAACATTCTGTTCTGTGCCTATCTAGTTTCGCCTTGTGTAACCATCTGTGCCTACACTCATGCAATCCCAGGATAGAAGCCTGGTGTTAATAAGCGTAACCACGTCTCACCCCGACTTCACTTACCCAACACCTCCTACTTCTAAATTCCAGTCCCTCAAAGCCTTCCTGTCAACCTGGTTATTACCTCGTGATTCATTACCCAGGTTACACTTAGCAGCTTCTCAGGTTCCAGTGAACCTGTGACTTTCTTCCACACCCATGTTGCCAAGGCCTGATGCGGGGCATAGCCCGACCATCTATATTTCTCTCAGACTTTCTCTTCCCAGGCTGCTAAATGTTGCTGAAGAAAATCATAAATGTATTGATCGACTGACTCTATTGCAGATAACTGTGATATAGCACCAGCAGTGGCCCCATACTTTTAGTTAACCTTTCCTTTCAAGGGTTCCAGACTTTAGAATGTGTTAAAATCAGCCTCCCTCAGAGACTGGTTCTGGAGATCTGGGATGGAGCCTAGGCATCTCACAAGCATACCCGACCATTCAGAGACCATTCTTCGGTGAGCAGCAACCACATACCTCTTCCATACGGTCACATAGTCCCGATCCTCCCACTCAGCTGATTACTTCTTTCTCCAAATCCACGGTGAAAACATAGGTTTCATTGGCTGTAAGTCCTTTTATGCCCTTACTTCTAAAAAACTTGCCTTAGTTTTCTTTATGTTGTCCTCCTTTCCTTTCCTCCTTCTTCCTAGCGCTTGCCCCGTGTCGGTGTTCTGTTCCAGCTCCTCTGGGACCTCAGCCAATCAACATTTCCTTCCTTCTCAGCCTCTTTCCAATATTGATTTTCTCCCAACACCTCAGGACCAAAAGAAGTACAGGTCTCTCTAATACTGAAAAACATTCCTCAGAGTTGTTTCACTCCAAATTATCTATTAATATCTCCTCCACTTTCTTTTCTACTTGAGGAAGAAATAACCTTTTCCCATGAGTGTAAAATCATATTAAACTGTGAAAAAAAATTAGAAGTATTTAAGTTAAAATTTAAAAATTTATCATAATCCCTATCATCAGAGATAACGTTACATTGTTAACAAGTTGAAATATATGTCTGCAGAATTTGTTTTAGTAGATCTAATAATATATAAGTATCTATTCTTTTCTTCACCCTAAAAGTAGTGTTATACCACTTTTACTAGGTAAATTTTTTTCCCACTTTAAAGTTTCTGTTTAGCCTTCTATGCCAGTGTAAAACTCATCTTTTTCATGACTGTGTAATATTCCCTTGTACAAAGGTGCAATGATTTAAACAAACTCCTTTTGATAGGCAATTGGTTGTCTCCAATTATTCATTAAAACAACTTTGCAATGAACATCCTTGAGTATCTATATCTCTTAGCATAACTTTCTAGAAGTGGAATAATTCGAGTATGCATAAAGTGTGTTAAGATGTTTTCTCATTTTCTTTAATATTGGGTAAGTTAAATCTGTTAAGTGTTTTTCACAATCTAACAGTTAAAATATTGTTTCAGTATGTATTTCTTTGCTTAACAGTGGAGTTGAGCATCTTTAATTCATTAACTATATTTTTATATTTTATTTTTAAGTCCTCTGTCCACTTTTCATCTATAATGCTTACTTTTTATTAATTTGTTTTAGTTCTTTACAAGATATGAATATAAATTTTTTATTTGTTAAATGTGGCAAGTCATTTTCCAGTTAATTGTTTATCCTTTAACTTATGATGATGGTATTTGATGATGATATAGAGGTTTAGAAAATTTCATGTACACAGTTCTGAAATATTTTTCTGTATGGTTTCTAACTTTGGTATTTGTGCTAAGAAAGACTAGCACTATTCCAAAATAATATGAA